ACATATACACATACATATACATACACATATATACACACATATACACATATACATATACACACATATACATATACACACATATACATATACACACATATACATACATATATATATATATACATATATACATATACGTATACACATATATACATATATACATATACACATATATACATACATATACGTATACACATATATACATACATATATATATACACACACATATACATATATACATACATATATACATACATATATACACACACATATACATATATACACACATATACACACACACACACACATACATGATTTACATATCGCATTCAGTATGGGTATTTCTACATTCTGGGTGGTTGTGCCAGAGACTTCTTTTAACCATACTGCAAGCCCTTGGCATAAATAATGCTCATTCTGGGCCTTGATGGAATTTAAACTACTTGGAGGCAGCTCTGGCCTCATGGCTCATCAAGACACGCCAAGGAAAAGTTGGCAACTCTAGAATGTCTTGAGTTCTGCGGGACTGAATCCTAAAACTCAGAAATGAGTGAGCATTTTTGCACTTCTGGATACCTCGTCTCAAAGTCTAAGAGTTTTGTAAATGTATTTTGGTTAGCTCCTTTAATTAGGCCTGTGGTTAACATAAGCTTAACAGATTTTCTACGACACAAAATAAATTAGTGAATACCCCACTCGAGAATTTTGAAGCCATAAAATATCCTGTTGTAACAAGTTGCCAAATGAGACTACAAAACGGCATCATGCCGAACAGTAAACCACCTTCAGCTTAGCGGTGGTGACGAGAAGTCATGTGACCGTGGTGTGATTTGTTCATAGGTTAGGTTATAGATTATACGTTAGCTTGTTACTTCTGGCGATTGCATTTAAGCTTCAACAATCATAACATTTTTGTTAATTTGTGACAATTATCCTGCTGAACATCACGTGTAAGTATCATTAACGTTTCTTTGCCATGGAGCGTCTTTTCTATAATATTCCAAAATGTTGTCGAGGGAACCAGGTTTGCTAACTTCCGGGTTGGCCTACAAAAATACTTCCATGCAGCACTCCATTATGTTGCATAAAATAAAACTACATGACCTGCCATCTTGAGTTCTTAGAACAGAGTGGGTTCCACAAACCGTAAGACATTCAAACCAAACTGTCCAGTAACTATATATTTAAAGCCTAGTGTGACCATAGTGATGACAGTACATTACTCACCAGCCTGCCGTTTCCTGAGTGTGACGTAAGGCAATAGGTCGTGGCGGGTGATAATCCTTAGAAGTTGGAGAACATGTCGGAAGTTGGTCTCATCACAGCGACCTTGGCGCTCTAAGGCAAGCAGGAAATCCCGTCCACTTCTGATGCCACCACGCTCATATTCGTCAATCACGTCAACAAACAGGAATGACAGTACCCTGACATCCCGATGGGTTAGCTGGGCTCCAACTATGTCAAACATGCGATGAAGTGAGTAAAGCCCATGGGAATTGTCCACTGCTTCCTCAGGCCATGGCTCGAAGTCCCCATTTCTTTTGGACAAGCTGGAGTTGGTGCAGGAGGCAGGAATGTTCCTGTTGGCCACTTCTCCGCTTGCTGCTGCCACACCTGAGCAGCCTGGCCTACCTGTCAGAGCTCTGTGATCCAGAGGCCCAGCGGTGGCACTACTCTGACTCGAGTCCAGCTGATTGGCCTGAATGTGAGGTCGGGCCTGCTGAGCAGAGGAGTTCTGGGCAAGCTGGGGAGGAATAACAGCATTGGGAAGTTGTGGCTGCTGTGATGTCATCTCAGGGCCAGATGATAAGGGGTTCTTGAATCCCCTGCTGTCTTCGTCTGCTCCAACTGATGAGCTATGTATGGAGAGTGGGGGTGGGGGGGGGGGGGGGGAATCACATATGATTTTACAATCATCATGATGGCCATCATTATGCATCAATAACTAACAACATGATACAATTGCAAACAACTGTGCAGGACTTTCCACAGTCCCCTTAAACATTAAGAGAAGCAGCACAGAGCCTCATTATAACACAGTAAATGGTACGTATTTTATGAAGGTGGCAATTGTGTATACTAGGGTTGGGCGATAACACAATATATACTGTGAGATACATTTGTCAACAATGTTTTATATTGTGGTATACCTCTTATATATCTGGCTGTACTAGGCTATTGTGGGCAATGGACAAATCAATGAGCAGGACAGTTTATGGAAATATGAGATCTTTAAATGATTTTTGCAAAAATGTGATTAAGTACTTGGACACATGACCTATTTACAGTAGCAGGATTAGCCAAAACAGTTTTATCAGTGTAATACAAATGTAATTCATATTGTATGAAGTTAAGTCTGTACAAAAATACCTGTCTCCATCCAATCCACTGCAGTGTTAAGTATTTTAACTTACATTAAAACTGCAGTGGTCTCAGTCTTTCATTACAGCCACCATTTTTACATCCAGCCTAAGGTATGTGTACAGTTCTCACCTGAACTACATTAAAGAGTAATTGGACACTCAAACATGTTTTTTAAGTTATGAACAAAATAATACTATATTTTGATTAAACAAATCAATGCTTGTGTTAATATTGACATTTATTAATAAATTTAGAAAAATCATAATTTCATGCCATTTGCTGTTTTAAATCAGCCCTAATCTTGCAAGGCCAATTATGATATAGGGTCGACCGTTTGGGACATAAAAATCACAGCCCAGCTCATTTGGCAACTGGCTAGTTAGCCAACTATAGATTGCTAACCCTACCATTTTATCATGTTAACTTTACACCGGTTACAGAAAATATACCTTGTTCTTGCATATGGCAGTGAAAAAGAACATGTAATAGTCTTTCCACAGAATCTTCTTTTATCAGACCATTAACTACAAGACTATACGCCATTAGAATAAAGTTTCTACTCTAGAAGTCTATCTGATAGTGTTGTAACTAAATACAAAGAAGTGTTTCCATTGACATTTAATTGAATGACATGTCTCAATACAACTTTGCTAACTTTAGTCTGTCCCAGATTGATCATCTGGTCGATAGTGCTACAGGCTCACTGCGTATAACACTCAACTTTATTGCCCCTCTAAAAAGAAGATAATAAAACAAAGGAAGTTAGCTTCATGGTATAACCCTCAAATTAAAGCAAATATCAACAAAAATTGTAAAAGGATATGATGTTCCCCCAATTTGGAAGAATCTCAGTTAGTCTGGCAAGCTGTTCTTTAAACGTATTGGAAGGCCCTCCGTAATGCCAGAGCTGCCTATTACTCAAGATTAATACTGAAAAATAAGAGCGAACTCCAGGTTCCCATGGCACTGTAGCCAGACTGACAGAGAGTCACAGCTCTATTGAGCTATGTTAATCCTCAGGAGTAGCGACTTGATGACATTCATTAATGACAAATTAAAACAATAAAGTCATCTACCTGTCTCTTAGGTTACATGCACACGTTATATAAAATAAAATTAAAAAAAGATCTCTGTCACGACAGAGAGTTTCAGAACCATTTTAGAAATTATTTCCATCCATACTAGCATGACAGAATACAAATATCACATGACCATTCGCGTACACTTGACATGTGGGTGCCGGTGTAAACAGGAAGTAGATTGGTTCTTAAGTTACAGGAACTTTTTGTACTCTTTTTAAAAAATAGTTCATGCTTGATACTTAAGATCTTTCCCTATATTTCCCACACACACACACACACACACACACACACACACACACACTTAAACAGACAAATTAAAAGTAAGAAGTTTCATTTTTCATACTTTCACGCACATCAAATATACTTTAAAAATGAGCACTTTCAAAGTTTTACTAGATTATGAAGATTAAGAAATTTGGCCAACATCTCACTCGTTTTCATTGTTGTCTGTTCTCACACTCAGCTCTGCCAGGTGGCTGTAATTCTCTGTCGTACTGGAGAGCATTTATGCTTTTGTTCATGTACAGTTTCTTTTGAAATAAGTATTGATAAGAAAAAGAAAATCTCCTGTTTTATATTCATCGCCCTCCTCAAAGCTGCAAACAGTGACTTTAAACTTCCTCTCCATAGGGCTGACAACGCCACTGGACACCACGCTTGCAAAACACTCAAATAATAGCTTGCTTTCTCTGCATGTAGGCGGTAGTAGAATTATAAAATGCTGAATTTAACTACACAACAGCTGCTAGCTGCAGCATAGACCATAGACGGTAAATAAGAAGTGGACGTAGTCATCGTGATGTCACCCATTGGTTTTGGAGCCTCGAGTTCGTTGATTTCGCCGTTGCCATCTTGGATTACAGCCATCACCATGTAGTAGCTCGATAACGCCCGCAACAAAATTTTCACAAAGCAGCCCTCGCAGTACATTTAACCTAAATGTACGAAATTTGGCAGGCTCCTGTATTAAATGTAGACTAAAAGTATCTTGGGACTATGCTCTAAACCCAACAGGAATACTTTAACGAACTCCTCCTTGGCAATTTTTCAGATCCACTTCAAATGTGGTCAGTACAATCTTAAGGCATTTGTGATTAAAAATTATCAAAACCTTTATGTTTGATGGAATGGCGGCCATTTCATCACCATTAAAAAAAACAAGCTGATGTAACTCCACTGGACTTGCTCAAATCTGTCCCAAACGTGCCATGCTTGATAACAATCATGGCCTGAGGATGTCTACAAGCCAATTTTCACACAGTCAACTGGAAATTACCGTTATGTAACAAACAGCATCCACTTTTCGTGACATTTACATGATGTGTTCTACACTAGATATAGAGCAATATAATGCATTCTTGCTCATTTTCCCTAGTGCCACATAGTGGATAAAGGAAGTGGTGGAATATTTGCAATACATAATTTCCAGTGTCACATACATCAAGCAGGAATAAAAACTTCTAACTCATACATGCGGTGTCTGATGGTCAGACATTCAAGGCCGCGTCAGCCGGTGTCCTGTCAGTACTGCTGATGTGCGTGAGCTTAGATGCGGGGGCCTAATCATCGCTGCTTTCAGCTTTAAATTTGTTATGATGTTCATTTTGTACTTGTGACAACTATTTTAGCAATAGAGCCCACTCAGAGAGGGATCTCTGCTCTCACTGAGTTTCCTTCCCTTTTCTTTCCCCGTACTTTTTCCAATGCAAGGGTCCCAAGTACAAAGGACATTGTCTATTCTAAAGATTGTAAAGCCCTCCGAGGCAAATTTGTGATCTATGATATTGGGCTAAACAAAAATAAATTTAACTGAATTGACTTGCACAGCGGGCTCGTGGCAAACTGGGTACCTGCTCCCTGCCGATAGGAGATTACAGATGCACCAGTCCTTCTCTGAGGCTAGCACACGCTCTCCTCCCAGCGAAGCAGTCTCACAGCAGCGATGATTGAGGGGGAGGGTAGTAATGATTATCTCATTTGTGGTCTGATTGCCCTTTTTTCATTTTTCTAAATTAAGCAGTGGGTGGATTTAGATTAGAGAACTTTATTAATCCCCAGTGGGGAAACTCATTTGCCACCCAAAGACTCATACAGACGACACAGTCCACAGGCCAGAACAGACAAAAACACATTACAAAGGATAAATAAGGAGTAGCCTATAAAAGCTGTCCTTCACAGCCAACACTGGAATCCAATCCTACAAAAAGTAAAATACTATTCACAACCGAGCCTTTTTGTACCGACATTATTTTCACATCTGTTGTCCTCTGCACCATTTGCAGTGTTTTTACTGAGGCTTCCCCAGTCGCAATTGATGAGACACAAGCTGCTGCATGTGCTGCTTAGGGTTGGGAATCACCAGAGGTCCCGTGATACGATATTATCACAATACTGCGATATTCTGAGTATTGCGATAACATATATTGCGATTTATTACTTTTTCAACTTCAAATTATGTCCCCAAAGGAAAACTGTGTCAACATGTTTTATCTATTAAGATAAAGTTTCAGTCTGTTCCTCTCACTTCAATCATTTTTATTGCAGCACAATAGGATTGTCAAGCAGACAGACTGACCAACAATATCATAAATGTTGCATGCACCTGACAAACTCAACTGTTTGTATTACTACATAGTCCAACGTAACTGAATGCAAACGTGTCTATAACTTATATAAGTAGGATATAAGAGTTATATAACTCAGTATAACTTGTGATGCGTGGACTTCGAGGGCAGAGAGCCAGTTATGCGCTGCACTCTCCCTATGAGCCTGGCTACTGTTGGCAGATTTAACCCCGTTGTGAGGCCAAATTGAGCGTGTGAGCGAAACACTTCACATGCAGGAATCCCGCTAAATGAAGCGTTGTCGGTTACAACCACCAGGTTTTTGACGGCAATCCCCCATCCTTGTGCTGCATTTAGCAGGAGGTCTGTAATGTTTGCCCCGGTGTGACTTACGTGTACTGCTCTAGTTTGGAGAACGTGAGACAGCAGTCGCCCGTCCCCTGAGATATTGTGCTGTTATAGTCACATAGGAATCCACTGCGCTTGACGTCCACACATCGCAAGTTAATGCAACTCTTTCTGCTGTACTCAAAGACTCCTCAACTTTATGTCTAGTACAGTGAAAATCACTGTACTAGACATACTGGCATTTATTACCACTGAAACCGCACCTGCTGAATCTGAAAAATTACTTGTTCAAAGAGTTAACAAAGCAAGAAGTTTGAATTCACATTGCATTAACAATAGATCCACATATATGCTTCTGTGAGGCTCAGTACCATTGTTTGTGTGCCAGTTAAAGTACCAATGGTGTAATCAGATATATAGTTTAACCGTGTCTCATATTCGAACAGTTACAGTCACGTCAAAGTTATTTTTAACAAAGTTGCACTGTAATACTTTGAAGGAATGTGAAAAATGTTTTGTCATCAAATTTGTGTTACGGTGAATGCCAGTGGTTACCCAACTTCCATAGATCCCCTAAGAACTGTTTATCCATATGTTTCCTATAAGGTTAAAGCGATGTACAGCTGTGGACAGGAGGAAGTACCTCATACAACCACACTTCTAAACATAACAGTGGCACAATGGATCATAAAACTCACGGTTCAGATCCAGTGTTTCCCCTACCTACCATTATATAGGTATAATATTGAAGGTCAAGTTCATTTTGTTAAATTTTATTTTCTATATAGCGCCATATCACAACAGAAGTCATTTAAGGTTACCTTTCCGATAGAACGGGTCTATATCTTGTTCTTTTATTAAACAAACTAAATAGCCTTATGTTATTTATCATATCTACACGGGGCATGTCATTTCTGTCTCTACATGCATTTACAATTCTCCTCTGCTCTCTGTATCGCTCACGGCGTAGTTCCACCCCGATGCGCACACATAGGTGAGCACACTACCACCAGCGGACAGAAAGCGCGCGTCGGAAAATATGTTGCGTCAACCACCTGCAAAGTAGACAACAATATCTGCATTTTGTGAACGCTCCCAGGGTGGTGAAGATGGCAACACTCGCTCTCCTGCGAGTAGCAGCCGGAGTAGCTCTCCTGTTCCGTGTCCAAGTACAGAGCCCAAGTGCTGCACGCCCTCCCCCCCCCCCCCCCTATTCATTTTCTACAGTACAGAGAGAATGAATAGGGGATTATTTCAGGTTTCTTTTCGGTTTTAGGAATGTTCTGTCGATTATGTAGACAGCATAAACCGGCAGTTGTGAGAGGAAACCAGACCCGGCCATTTATAGAGTCTCCCTGCCAGTCCTACAGAAAGGACAAACTTGACAAACATGGCGTCTGAGCATCACAGAATAGCCTGTCAGCGCCAGTCAAGTTTGACAGCAGGTAAAAATGGTTTATTCTATTATGATTTGATCAATAACATGTTTGGCTCTTCAATGCTGATGATGCATGTCATTTCAGGCAACACAGTCCTTGCATCATTTGAGCCCACAGTTGTCCGATGGTTAGTTCAATATACAGTTCAAATAATTGTTCAGTTGTTATATTGACTATATTGATTCCTTTAAGTGTTTGTGTCGGTGCCCCCCCCCCCCCACAAAAAAGCTGTAAACCTAGAGGAAACACTGCATTGGGAAACCTGAACTAGGTGAAGTTTGCCATTATGCCTAAAACATTTGCTTTCCAGAAGAGAGGTTTGAAAGAATTAACTTTCACTGTGACATACTATGTTGTTTCTCTAAAATGTAGATACAAATTTTTAATTTTGTATTACTTTGATTATTACTTTTACTAACTTTAAAAAGGGCATGCTGTTATATTACTTAATTTAAAAAACGAAATTGTAACAATGCAGTTGTATTCATATGTGAGCGTTACTACTTGAAAATGTGACATCTTGTACATTTTAAGTTGTAATTATGTTGAGTTGGTTTTCATCTGTGTTTGAGCTTAGCACAAATTAATCTTTTGAGTAGACTTCCCCTTGGCTATAAGTTGTGCACAAGTGAATATATTGAGTTATCATTGATTTTAAATGAACTAGTATGCAGAAATCTTTTTTTTTTTTCAAGAAATCAAGGTAACAAGCAGAAGGTAATTAATGAACATAAGGTCATTATAGGGGTGAACTATTCCTCTAAACCAAATATTCTGAGGGCACAGCAATTGGGTTTTAGAGACAACACAGGTTTAACGTTATACCTTGAACATAAAGCACAGCTAAGCTAATGACAGTAACAGTCCTAACAAAGCTGTCCAACCTGCCTGCCTGCTTGTCGATATATCAATTTGTGATTCTGAAAATAGGCTTGTTTCACTGTAAAAAGTTAGACCTGTCACCAGGAAAGCACGGTTATTAATATCAATATAATATTAATGGTGAAAACATAAAATTACCATTATCATCATAAGGCCGTTTGGAATACAATTTCCATAATGTCAGCTAAGGCTAATTTAGCTAACTAAAACAGAGTTATGTAAACAGCCACATATTTGCAAGCACGCTATGTTACCACTTCAATAACTCATTGAGAGTTTCTATTATAGACTGAACAAACAAGCACACACTCATTGTTATACACTGTTATAACATATTCAGCTGTTTAGGAAGATATATAACACGCTAACAACTAACGTTAGCTAATGCTAGGTGTCCTACGGAAGTTAGCTAGCAAGGTAAAAATAGTTATCTAGAAATTAGAAGCAGATGCAAGATATTGATGTGTGGGCTCTAACGTTACAAACTGGTCTCTGGTCCACTACTTGCGACTAAATAGTTAAGAATTTGCTGCAACATTACAACATTACAGTAGATCTGCGCATAGTATCACACCCTTGGTTTGCGTCTTGGTTTGTTGTGACTGCTCATCTCCAGCCTTAGTCCAGCGTTACCGTTACCCAAATGAACTTTTTATATAAAACCAAGTAAAGCAGACAAACAAAAGAAATCAACTTTACATTACCTCCTGTCCTTTAGGATATTCTTGACGAGTCGACCGGTATCAGTTCGGTAGGCAGCTAACGCAAAGTTAGCTTCCCAGTGCCTGATAGCACAGCAAAGCTTCTTTCAGGGCAGAAAACAGCTCCGTTTTGTTGTTTTGATTGAGTACCCGATAAATGCTTGACATGTAACGATGTGTTTCCAGTCTCGTGGTGTGCAAGACGGCTTATTTCAGGCCAGAGGTGACAGTTTGTTCAATGGTTTTGGTCCTCAGGCATACATCGTGGGAAAAATAAGCAGACAAGTTTCGTTCTTCAGCTAAAATGAAAGACCTTCCAGATCACAATTCAGTTCAGTTCCGGTGTTCCTTTTCTTTTTCTTCGTGTAGATTCTGGCAGTGTAGACGCTGTTAAGCGTATTACTGCCCTCCGCAGGATACAGAGTTAACTGTCTTGTCACACATGTTTTCACATAGTGCCCTGCATCATGCAGAAACTTAACCCTCCTGATATGTTCGTTTCCTAGGTACAGCAATGATGTTCTCGGGTCAATGTGACCCGGTGCATGTTTAGTCATCCAAAAGTTGTCAGAAACCAAAAATTCCAAATAAAGATGGTTTGTACCTCATCACCAACACCATTACTAACGATTCAATCAGTATTTAGTGGAATGGAGTTATTCACCCCTCCATAGATTAGGATAACTCACTCGTTTTCATGAAAAATACATGTTCAAACTATTTTTTAGGTACATTGGAAAAACCTAGATGTAAATTTAGTTTACCATAACATGTATTTTTTTTCTAAATTTGTTTTACATTTTGAAACTTTCTTTTATTCATTGGGTGATGTAGATAAATAGAGATGAGACACCTCTGCTGTTCAGGGTCATATTGACCCGCTCACTCAAAATCAAGCCAAATGAGTCATAAGGATTTGTATTGAAAGTAAACTATGTTTATGTTTATTTATCGTGTTAAGAAACAGACATTTACAAAAATTAACAAGAGATTAGCACAATGAACGAGGCGTGTATGTTTGTGTGTGTGTGTGTGTGTGTGTGTGTGTGTTTGTATGCATTCGTCTGTGTATCTGTGTCTACACAGCACACGAGTGACATGTCGTCACGGTGTGCAAATACATTTTGGCACTGTCTTTATAATATTTTTGGCTGACATGTATTGGGTGAGGATGACCACTGTATTTCAGAATTCTTTGACAAGAATGTCTGAATTATAATTATAATCTGAATTGACCTCAAGATGGTCTTCATCTTCAGACACATCCTCCTCTATTTTACTGTCGTGATCAAGGATGTGCTCTAGAGCCTCCTGTGCTTTTTGTTTCTGTTGCTCATGTTGTCCTACAGTAAGCTGCTGTGTTGTATGTATCTGCAGAGTGTAATGTTGGTAGGACTCCCAAGCAACACTTTTGTATGTTTCGCCCTGCTCTCCCCTGCTAAGTGTGGGCGGAGTTTTCCCGCGGGAAAATAAAAGGTTGCCGCCAAAGTCAAAATAGTATCTGTATTTTTCGCACAGGTGGGGTAGTGAGAAAGAGTGTATGTGTGTGTGTGAAATGCAGTGAAATATGGTGGGAGGCAGCAAGAAATACTTTGTCTCACATTTTCAAAGAAAGAAATAGTCTAAACTTGACACATCTGACCCCTTATAGCCTCCACTTTCACTGCCGGGTCAAATTGACCCAAAGATCATTTCTGTAATATAAACCTGCAGGTGGGGGTTGCAAATTACATGATATTAACCTTTTTTTTTTAAACGTTGATTACACTAATTAAGGCAAGCAGAAGAAGTTTCATACAGAAAAAGTACTTTAAAATATTTTTTCTAGATTTTCAAACTTCGAATCGGGTCAATTTGACCCACAACATAACAGGAGAGTCTGCATTTAAGATCAGATGGTGGTTCTCACTCTGGCCAAAAAATGGAAAATTACTTAACTCCGAGGTCTGATCATCACTAATAAAACGGGCGTCTGTCCTCGTTATATTTACTACATTCCAGGAAAACATGCCTGTTCAAATAGGATTGTTCTGTTAAAATAATCACCTATCACTCCATGTTCCTTTTCTTGTAAAACGTTAAGATCAATGTCCACTCTTACATTAGCCAAAATGGTTCATATAACCATCCCATGTGGTTTGCTATGCTTGCCTGTTCCATTCTCAATTTCTTGATCCACTGATTTATAATGTAAAAAAATGGCTTGTTTCTGATTTTGCCCCTAGAATTCCATGAACCTTGCAAAAGACTTTTAACTGGGAGGGTTTGATCAGCACCACTTTTCCCAGTATAAGCATAAGGACATTTCTCCCATCTCAATAAGCAATGCCGTAATTGGGGAGGTTTTAAACGCGCCACAACAGTCTTAATGCTTTGGCCTGCTTAATATCACATTTTTCCAAATATAGCCAAATACAAAACACCCATAAACATTACAGATCTTATTGCCTGATAAATAAAATGCATGCACATCCGCTCTGGCCCTCAGTCACAACCAGCCAGACTTTTCATGAAATGTAACACTTTTTAACATTTAGATATTAGTTTTGCTATATAAATAGACCAGGGGTCGGCAACCTGCGGCTCCGGAGCCGCATGCGGCTCTTCAGCCCCTCTGTTGCGGCACCCTGAGGCTACATCCACACCACTACGTTTTCGTTTTAAAATGGAGTTTCAACAAACAACAACGATCTCCGTCCACACGGCGTTTCAGCATTGTTTTCTAAATGATCTCCGTTCAGACTAGAACGCCTGAAAATGAATATCATGCGACTATTCACGACCACTGGGCAGGAGGTGTCTTGAAGCCGTCATTACCAACAAAGGCTTTTGTGCGAAGTATTTAATCAATTTCAGTACGCGTGTTCAATACTTTTTCCCTGTGTCATTTCATTTTTTTACACATAACTTAATTTCTGAACTAATTTGTTTGCATTTCTTTGTATGTATGGATTAGTTGGGTTGTTACCGACATCTGGTGAAAAGTTCATGTCAATAGCACCTTTAGAAATATATTTACTGAGAAAAATTATGACGTGTTCAATACTTATTTTACCCGCTGTATATAGAAGGAGACAACAAGGGATCGAGGGCTTGAGGTTTTTAGGTTTTGTAGCTCTTTGAGGTTCTTTAGGTCTTTTGGGGGTTTTGAACTTTTGACTTTTTGTCTTTTCTTTGACTTATTTTTACATTATCCATTTTTGTAAACTTGTATCTTTTTATTGCAAAAAACAAATAAAAACTGGTTTGTATTTTGTACATTCCGACCAAAGTCCATTGTTTTTTTTAATCTCTGAGGGGGCCTTCGTAGTCTCCTAAAGAGACGTAAGAGAGCTCTTCCCCTGGGATAGGCTGACAGTAGTAAATAATCGGACATACATTTGAATGACATACCTGTTACCAGTGGTGTATAAAGTACTCAAAAGCCATACTTGAGTAAAAGTAAAGATACCTTACTGGAAAACTACTCCAGTAAAAGTAAAAAGTCACCTATTAGAATACTACTCGAGTAAAAGTCTTAAAGTATCTGATATTTATTGTACTTAAGTATCAAAAGTAATTTTCTGATATTAAATGTACTTAAGTATTGAACGTAAAAGTACAAGTAAATGCTGTTAATAAAAAAGCAAAGCGTCAGAATTTTGAGAATTCTGAAGTTTATTCTTTTAAGTGCTGTGGCCACCATCACCAAGGACAAGGAGTTGTGTTGAAAATAATTGGATTGGCTGTGATCCATCCAGGAGCAACAATGTTCAACATAATATATTGTACATAAGTATACTTCTGCATCTACTATGAACTTATCATCATAATTCTCCGAAAAGCAATATGACACTATGAAGGAGTTGTAACAGTGCGTTTATAAGTATGCTCATTCCGACTAGAGGATGTAGAGGGCAAATGCATAATGTTGTGTTCAGCAAAAAATATCCACTTGATGCATCAGGTCAGTGTTTTGAAAAAGGACGCCTGCCTTGTAAACTGAATTGAACACAATAGGCAAAGGTTTTGCTCAAGCTGAATCTGCAATTGGGCGACTGCTACCATCATAACTCCATCTGATCATCCACAAAATGACTCAAATATCAAAACATGATCAATACTAAAGCAGCAACCCAGTCATTACTTGAAACTGAAAAATGTCCTGTTCATCTTCAAAAGAAGTTGGTTTTCAAAATTGCGAGAATTCAGTCTCGCTCTTCTTGGGCTGAAGACTAGTCCTGCGATGCTAAATAGCCTTTCACAGGCCGCTGAGGCAGGTAGAGGTGTGTTCAGCTTCACAGACAGCTTGCGCACAGCTGGGAAAGATTTCCCTAATGCTGCGCTCTCGCGGCTCCTGTCAATCATATGGTGTGGTGGCTAGCTATAGCTAACGTTAGCCAACTAGTGCTGCACAACTGTCAACACTTCCTCAGCTCACTAACTCGCTAGCGATCCACGGGTGTTGGTCTTCGTCACCACCGTCGTTTGTTGCGGGAGTAGCAGGTGCTTCCATTTCTGCTTCCATCATGAAATCAGTCATCGTAGAGTGGAATTATACTAATGTAGTCGCTCGCTAGCTAGCATCATGGGCATCACTGGGAATCAAAACACCGCGGCTTTGAGAGCACTTGTTTGCAATTGCGCATTAACGTGATTAACCAATGATTTAACTTGCAAGCTAGGACCACTGATTCGCCAAACCTGCTTGCTTGTGTCTGTGTTCCACCACAGTCCCCGACGCTGGTCTCATGATTCATTTTTTTTCTAAAGATAGATTTGATTTTGTAGCGAGTAACGAAGCTTTCAGGGGAAATGTATCGGAGTAAAAGTATCAGTTTTCTTTGCAAAATGTAATGAAGTAAAAGTCAACAGAAATATAAGTAGTAAAGTAAAGTACAGATATCCAAAAAAACCGACTTAAGTACAGTAACGAAGTATTTCTACTTCGTTACTATACACCACTGCCTGTTACAAGCCAAGGTCAAAATGGTGTTGTTCAGTATTATGTGACTTACTAACTTGGTTGGCTCACATTGTTTTTGATGCTCTGCTTGTATATTTTGTATGATGTTGCAGTGTGATTATAGTGCTTACACATTACCTGTTGTGTTTTTAGTTAATTAATAGGGGTCAGATTGGCATCTAAATTGAGGGTGTTAGGGAAAGGGTCCTGAAGTTGCCCTTCATAACCGAGCGACGTTCCTAACCACACGGAGTCCTCCTCCTGCGGTGGACCTTTAGAGCAGGTCCATCCTGGAGTACTTCCAGTCCTCCTACACCTATTGCACACACACAAATTCGTTGATATCTGGCTGTCAGGGAGGATGATTTTTAGCCGATTTAAGTGATACGACGGTGGCTAGTGTATTAAGTTACCCTGCTTTGCTCCCCTAAAGCAGGCTGAGATGGTCTTGCGTGTAGATTTGGGGGGGTACGTTCATTACCTAGGTCAGAGGTCACTGAACAGGCTGTCTTCCAGTGCCTTACCAACACTGGGAGGGGGGGTAAGTTACGCAGCTAGGCTGCACAACTTTTCAAATCAAAATCAAAACTCTGTCATTAGAATGTTAGTTGCTATTTCATTTAACCTGTATATGTTGAGGAAACATTTTTGAAAACAA